TCCCAGACCAAGGGCAACAGAGGTGGAACTGGGGGGTGGACAGACTGCACTGCTCTATCTATACATCCCACCCACAGCATGGGAGGAAGGTGCATGTGCAGTTCGATGGGCACTGCTGATGAAGATCTCCAAATCCAGGTGCGAGGGATTCTACCATGCCTGCAAGTGGAGCACCAATAGGGACATCGCTCTAAGAACTGGAACTGCACTTTTCCCCCCAAAATTCTTTTCAATGAGTTGCACTGTTCCTAGGGCATGATGTTGTAGATGAAGATCAGGATGGGGAACCTTTTTTGGGATGGGGGCTGCTGACCCCCAGGCTAGTAGATTATGTGCTCTAGACTCACAGTGGTATAGTGGGGGTGGGAAAGGGCTGGAGCACCAATGCAGGCTCCCCAATGCTGCGGGGGGGAGGGGGGAGCCCCGAGCCTCAGGGACCAGATCCAGGAAGTCAGGCACTGCAGGTTCTCCCCCACCCTTCCAACAATGAAAATGATAAAACATATTCTCTCTATTAACACAGTGCTTGTTTACACACTTCAGCAGAATATATGTATTATTTCCACTGAATTTCAGACCTAGCTTTCTAGCTAGGGGGGGAGGAGGTTGGTGAAAGTTACATTAGATAGGAATGAGCTTCTTACTCCAATGTTTTTGTACTTATGAACTCTTGGTGCACACATCTTAATTCCTCCTGTGGATCATCTGCAAGATTTTCACATATTAAAATTCACGTGCATATCCAGATATGGAAGCAGATTCTCTTTCTCTTACACATACATACAAAAGACCAGGATTTCCAAATACAGTCATAGGGATTCCCTATTTCAATACTATACAATGCAACAGAAAACAATAATATGTAATATGTGTAGTCTGTTAGAAATAAGCACACTCTGTCTGAATAGGAAGTGAACTGAACTCAAGAGAAATGGTCCAAAGAAACACCACGGCACAACCTACTGTCCATGTGGGTGAGGCTGTCATTTCTGATGGCTGGCAAGCTGCTGCCTCCACCTCCTCCACTGCTGGTGCCAATAAACACACTCACCAGGGTGATGGAACAAGGGGCACAGTCTGGATCTTGGCAGACTGATTCCCTTCACATGGCACCACGAGGAGAATCATTCTCTATCTTCACCCCTTCCCCCGCAAAATCCTCCCTCCCTACAGAACTATAATTAGAAAATATGAATAAACTGCCTTATGGCACTGGAATCTTCAAAAGCAACTTAACAACATAACAGGAAGGCGTATGAATAAAATGCTTTACTGTATCTCATGGCAGTGATTTTGTAGGGACAATTCCAGCTACTAATGGGTGGTTTTTCCTTGCAATGGCCATAATGATGTTTATTTAAGGAAAAATAAGTGAAGGTTTTTTATCCCCAGGATGCTACACAAGAAGAACAGAACCAATCAGTCAGGAACTGCTGAAAATAAAGTAGAAAACCCCATTTGCAATGACAGCTCATTGTGAAAAAGCATTGTTATTGTTCAATAGAAGGTCAGTGAGAATTATGGTAATCTGCTGAGTACAAACTAAAGCTTTCTATAGGCAGCGTTACATTACACCAAGTTTTTCCACATAGCCACTTGGGAATACGTGACATATGTTCCTAGTGAGTAACTCCTCCAGGTCTCTTCCTGCCCTTCTCCAAAATAGATACTTCTCCCACCTTCCTAAGGCAGATCCTAAAATTTGAAGTGGAAGAGATTGTGCTGCATGTTTTAAACAAGAAAATTCTTATACCTGTATGGGACCAAATTCTCAGCTGGTGTGAATCAGTGTTCTCTCTATTGCTTCCACCAGAGCCATGCTTATTTACACTGGTTGAAAAGCTGGCTTGTAATATTCAAATTACACAAGCATACAAGACAAAAAAGGGGAAAAGGGAGTGAAGCCAGACAAATAAGTTTTCCTCTTACCTGCTCATTTTGTTTTTTGTAACTTTTGACCAGCACACGGGTTTCCTTTCCCTGGCAGCAACAAGCAGGAAACCCAACCAGCCAAGCTGAAGCATTTCCACTCCCCTTCCCCAGCCTTGCAGCTTATTCTCCGTTTCTCTAGAGGAAGTGGAAGGAAAGGGAAAATGCCCTTTATGATCCTATTCACTTCTCTCCAAGATCATATTTGGATCCTCTGAGGGAAAAGCTGAACAAAGTTGTGTCAGCCAAAACAAGACCCTTTAGTTGGCAGTGCTTCTGATAAGTGTGCACACATCACCAGAAAGCCACCTGACACAGATCATGTACTGTAGTTAGGCTTTGCCTCTTTCTACCTAAAAATGGAATGACCTGGGTAGGATGTGCTCTGATCCTGAGCACACAAAGCACTTCTGATATTCTGGATGATTCCTGGTCTACTTAGCAATAACAATCCCTGCTTGAGGCCCTTGAAAACTACAAAGGGCTCAATCCAATGCCCTCTAAAATGTATGGGAATCAAGGATACCCACTGATTTTAATGGAAATTGGCTCAGGCCCAAAGAAAATCATATTTCTAAAGAGTTCTATACTCCACACAAGCCTAAAGAGTGCCCTATAGATCCTGGATATGCCAAATGTTCCCTTTCCTAGTTTTACATTGCTGAGAAAAAACAGGCAAGAAAATATTCTGATTGATGTGAAACGGTGAAAGCACTGACGGAAGAAAACTAGGGCAGGTGCAAAGAACCCTACATCTGTGGACCAGCATATAAGGTAGCAGTCTAGAAGATGTTAAAATGACCTTATCAGTGGTCATTACCACATCAAGGAAGAAAACACAGAAACTTATTTTCTATGGATTCAAATGCCTCAAAGGAAAGGTGAGAAATCATCTTAGTTGGAGGAATCTGAAAAAGTAACTCTAGGAAATACTGGATAAAGCCAACTGTTATCCCAGGTAAAACTGATCCACTGGGACAAAGTCAACCTGAGACCCTCCCCCTAGTGACAATTCCATTCTGGTCTGAAATCCTTAATAGTTACATATGGATATTGAAAAGAAGAGTCTGTAATTGGCTTTGCAAAATTAACAATTCTATCTCCTATATCTCCTCATTCTCCATCCCCTCCAAAAAATTGCTTTTAGGTCTCTACCTCACTGAAGATTAACAAATGCCCAAGGAAAAGATCCACTCTAAGGAGAAAGTTTTCGATTTTCTGGAATAGGAAGAGGTACTTTCTTCTCCAAGAGGTCTTATAAAGTAATGCCTAAAGTCTCCCCAAAATTCATTTTCAAGTTTGGAGTGGGTGGGATAGGCATTCTAAGATGTGAAGTTAATGTTCCCCACCTCCAGAGTCTGAGCAACAGAGCTCTGCAAACTATCAGAAAAAAGCTAAGAATGTATGCATCCAAATACAGGGAATCCTGTGGCATATTTCTACAGCTTTTAACAACAAAAGGGGCCTTTCAAAAATTCTGATCTTCGTGGAAAGGTACAGGCAGAAATCCTGATCTTGCTGGATCTCAGAAAGCCACCAGGCAGCAGATTTGGACACACAAGAAAAAGGTCTCTGGAGAACTGTGTAATTCCTAACGATTTATTTTGCTGATGATCTCTTTCACCTTCAGTTTTTAGGTCATACCAGCAGCATCCATATTGCGGGGAGTAAGACACTCACTAGCACACTGTATATCTTTAAAGAAGATCTAGAGGAAAACACTAAGCATGACATGGGATTTGTCCATTGTTCTCTGAAGAGTGAAACTTGATTATTTTTTTCCAAGGAAAAGAGGTAGTAAATCTTTGAGTCAGCCTTTGCTGGAAGTCTTCTAATTCCATACCTAAACTAACCATTTCTGAATAGATATTCTTAATCCTTGGAGACATTCTGCTGCACAGACCTCAGTATACCCCACATTCAGTAAGCAACTTAATCATGTATTTAAGTTCAAGCATGATGTGGGGCTACTTGGGTGCCTAAATCTAAACACAAGATTAAGTGCTGTGTTGATCCAGGGTCAAAGGAAACCACTCCTTTCTGTAAACAGAATTCAGAATTTGGATACTTGCAGGTAGAATATAACCTGAAAAAGCCAGAGCTGTGCAAGTTTTGCAGGAACCAGATGGGTTTAAGAATGAAAAAAAATCCTGGACACTTTGCAGAAGAAAAAAGAAAAGACCTTAACTTATGTAAGCAAAGTTCCTTCCTGGATTAAATATCAATTTAGATGAACATGAAACCATGGGGGAGTAGGTTTTGAATCCCATGTCCAGTGGTTATTTGGATAATTCAGTCTTGCTAACTGCGCATTTTTAAACTAGACTCTTCACTCTCAATAAAATAGCCCTTTCTGGCTCTTGATCCATCTGAATCCAATTTTTTTTTCCAGAAAGAGACTTTATTCATGTGGATAAGGTCCTTCCCTTTTCTACTGATTGAGTGGGCTGGACTCTCCAGCAGGCCTTTCAAAATTTGAAAGGCAAAAGGAACCACCACTGTCTCTCCTGACAATGTAAGCAAAAATTACCTGCAGCAGAGGAAGAAAGAAAGCTGTTGCACATAAACATTTTATGAAATCTTCTTTTTAATTTTAAACTTTTCTAAATCCAGCATACATAGTAAAAATCAAGATGGTAGTTAAGCATGTTAAAATTCAAATGACTGCCTTCCTACTTCTGCACTGCATCAGGGAATTTAACAGGGAATCTGAGAAGCAGAGAACAAAATGTAACCTACTGGAGTAAAGGGGCTTCCATTTAACTGGTTGCCTGTCCTGCTTTTTCTCTCTGTGAGAAAAAATTCCTGTGATCTGTGCAGATTGAGTGAGCCAAAGTAACAAATTAACAGAATGAAGAGAAATGATTTATTTTAGCCTATAACTTTTTGCCACTATTAAAACTTCATATTTTCCATAACCATGTTTTCTTTTGTATTCTTCTTTTATTGATAAGTATTTCTATGGCATCTGCTCTGATACTGTGCTGAGGTACAGTCTCGCAAAGGCTTATAGCTATTCATTAAACAAAAGCAAAATCTTATAACAGGTTTAGAAGCTACTCTGGACTTACCAGCAGTTGTATATACTGTATATTTTACAGAGGCAATTAACTCATTATTTTCTCTTGTATCACACTGGAAAGCTACTGGATGGGTATCCCTGTGCACCTCCAGAATAGCCGAATCATTAGGAAGAATGAGTGATTGCTATCCATATTAAAAAGAAAAGACAAAATGGATTTTTTCAAATTGCTTTGTATGGGGGAAATGCTCTATATCAAAGTCATATAGAAAACCGGTTATTCTACTCAAGCAGTTCCATACCCAGATTCCTCCCCCACTGGCAAAATCCATCACATCTAATGAAACCCCTCTCCTATTCACCAAAGGAGAAGGGCAGTGTGGTTATGACCCATTGACACTTGTTCATACCCTCCAGGTTGAGAACCCAAGTTCTAAGAACACAAGAACAGCTATGGGTCAGACCCATAGTCCATCTGGCTCAGTATCCTGTCTTCTGACCGCGACCAATGCCAACAAACAGAGCAGGGCAATTATCAAGTGATCCGTCCAGTCCTCCACTCCTAGCTTCTGGCAATCAGAGACTAGAGACACTCAGAGTATGGGCCTGACCATCATGGTTATTAGCTTTACCTATCCCTCATGATTATATCTAATTCTTTTTTGACCACCATTATGTTTCTAATCTTTACAACACCCAAAGGAGTTCCACGAGGTTGACTGTGGGCTATGTGAAGAGATCTTTACTTGCATTTCATTTAAATCTGCTGCCTGTTAATTTCATTGTGACACTCCTGGTTCTCGTGTTATGTGTAGGAGTAAATAACACTTCCCTATCCACTTTCTCCACACCAGTCATGGTTATATTGACCTATAGGATATCACCTCATAGCTTCTCTTCCAAGCTGAGAAATCTCAGTCTTTTTAATCTTTGCTCATATGAAAGCTGTTCCATATCTTTAATAATCTCTATTGATTGCCCTTCTGTGTACCTTCTATGATTCTAATGTATCTTTTCTGAGATAGGGATCCAGAACTGTATGTAGTATTCAAGGTGTGGGCATGTGATACGATTTCTATAGTTGCATTATGATATTTTCTGTTTTATTGTCTATTGTCTATCCCTTTCCTAATTGTTCCTAACATTCTGGTAGCTTTTTAGACTGTTGCTGCACATTGAGCAGATGTTTTCAGAGCACTTTACACAATGACTCCCAGATCTTTTTGTTGAGTGGTAACATAACTTAGACCCTATCATTTTTATGTAATAGTTGGGTTGATGTTTTCCAATGTGTGTTACTTTGCATTTATTTATTCAAGAAAGAACAACAAAGATTACTTTCTAAAATACATTACAGAACTTATTTCTTACTTTAAATAAATGAAGGGAAATGGGAGCTCTGCAAAGTAATGGGGCACAAAAGCTCTTGTGCCATCAGACTGACAAAAAGAAAGATTTCATTTGTATTATGATAGCAAACAAACAAAAAATTAAACCAGAAGTTGGCACGAGATGACTGAAGCAGGTGGTAAACATATTGAATATATCATTCTCTTGCCCAAGGTGAAGTTCAATTGCTCACCTGGTCTGGAATTAACATTTTCCAAACATATGTAAATCGATTCTCTGGAGGTATAAAAATACATGGGATCTTCACACTAGCAAGGCTTTCAGAAATTGGTCTACCCCCTGTGGAAGAAAAATTTAATATATACATCAACACCTGTCTGAAACACATCTGTAAATACCATATATAATTTATCTAATCAAATAATGTTGATTTGAAATTGTTCTTCCAATTAAAACTATTTAAAATATCTGCACTTTGGCTTAATATTTACAACTACATATATATCGACAAAATAGAAAATAAGTGCAGAAAAATGGTACTTTAAAGAGATTTAAAATCAAACACACATCAGTACTAAAGTGAGTTATGAAATGTTACTAGATTGCTCAATAGGGTAACTGGAAAATGGAATGCAATCATTTCACTCCACTTCCACCACACTTATAAAGAATAAAGATATTTCCCTTGAATAAACACATTCACTCTACAGATCTCTATCATAGGATTCTACTTACACCCACAATCTACTGGTCCTCTGCACTCCTCTACACGTACAATGCATTTTGTTTCACTTCCAGGGCACCCATTGGTTAATATAACTTCTCGAATGCCAATACCTTTGCAAAAAAAAAAAAAAAAAAAAAAGTTTGTTTCCATTTCTTCCATCATTCTTTATTTTCTCCCTCTTTATATTAGATATTAAACTAATTTATCTACCATACATCAGGAGAAAGATATCCTCAGAACTTCTGCCAAGTCTATCCCATATTTGTGTTTAAGATTTGGTTGACAAAACTTACTTCTGCCCACTTTCAACTCCTGAAGTCCTGTAAAGCATACAGCTCCTAAGAGTCACCATGTCACAATGTATCATTCTTAATCTCCTTTTAGAATAATTCAAAATGAAATTAAATTTTATACTGTATATTCCAGATTATCCAAATAGCATGTGGGACACAGATTTTGTTTGGATAATCAAAAGGGAAGGAGCCATTCAGGCAACAGTAGTGGGGTGGTCCCCCTGGATTCAGAGGGCTCATCTAACTTCTTCTCTTTGCAGGCTTGGCTGGGGTCTCTGCTCTTTCCCACCAGGACTACTGCCTCCCCACCACACCCATTTAACACCTTGCACCTGCACGGACTGAGTATCACTGGGCCTGCAACAGCATAGGGACCCCTTTCTGCAGTATTGCTGTCAGAGCCCTACTCCCTCCCTCCCACTGGTTTCAGTGGATGCTCTGTGCTGCCTCAGGAGTCATTCAGCAACAGAGTGGCCTTCCCTGTAGAAAGGCGTTAGTCCTACTAAACCTCTTAATAGTCCTGGCTTAGGCTTCTGCTCTATTATATGAACCTCCACATCACTGAACCTTTTTGTTGTCCCTCACATAAGATACACACTACAGAGGGCATGTATTTCCTGTATCTCATGCTGGGAAAAGGATGGGATTCAGATAATGCTGAGGTTTGGGCAATAGGGTTTTGGATAAACAGAAGTATATTGTATATTGCTAAGAAAACAAAAACAGTGAATCAAACATCAAAGCTGACATGAACATGGCCTTTCAGTGCCCAATTTAGCTAATACTGGGAGCATGGCAGACATAGCCTGTCCACTCTGACCCTGACCCTCACTGTACTATGCACCCTCACTCCCACTGTTCGCAACAGAGACTGAATGTGCTGTGCTCCTCACAGGACAGGATCCTCCCAGAGGAAGGAGAGCCTTGAATCGCTTAACAGTAACCAGTATTGGGTGACTATTGACAGGCTCTGAAGTGAATCCCATTCAGACCTCCTCATGGTGACCCTCAGAACTCCACCTAAGACACGAAGGATTCTACTGAAGATAGGGAGGGGAAGTGGGTAATTATAAATATTGAAGGCTGAGAGAAATGTCTGTATAAAATTCAATTAAATCAAACATCAGTATTTCAATGGGAACACTGCCTCATTTTAACCATTGCAAATTCAAAATAAATGGTATATTTACTTTTGCCAAACAATGTGTACACAGTTCCCTGAAATGACATAGGGAGTGGGGGTGGAGGGAATAGTATGTTTAGGCCCAGTAAACACTGAAAAAATTACCATTATTCTAGCAGCATGTTGTTTTCTAAACTGCAGAGGTATGGGGAAAGAGGAGTTAAAACCCTCCCACAGTTTGATAAATGGGAAATTGATTTGAATGCTGAATTAACCCCACTGATGTGAATAGTAATTTGTTGTGATGTATCTGCCTCCTTTAAATGTGTATGATACACACTGATAGAATTTAGAATATTTCACAGATGACATATAGATCATGAAACAATACTTCAGTTGACAGAGAGAGACAACAATACTTACTGAAACTGTCACAAAACAGGGATCATTCTCCACTGCTGAGAACATCTCATCTCAAGGATGCAGAGATAGAGGTATAAATGACAATGAACTGACACTTTTATTAAAGACATTCCTCTAACTTTAGAGCTGTATGTCTGGGGGTGGAGGGGAAACGGGGGTGAGCCGAAAACCTATGAACATCAAATTGGCTTGTTTGAAAAAATCTGGATGCTAACACATTTAGTAAGAAAGAACATGCCTGTTTTAACTACCTGAATATTAAAACTGTGGCACCCTATCAAACACAAAAAGTTGACAAAAGAACCCCATCCTGATACCTGCAAGTAGTTTCAGTACTCCGTGGCCCCTCCTCTTTAGCCAAAAACTAATTTTCCCAAAAAATAATTTCCCTTTTCCCCTCCCTATTAGCAGCTGCCAACTCTGCAGAAGTTAATCTACTTCAGTGGTGGGAAACTTGCAGCCTGTGAGTCACAAGTGGCTCACAGAGGTTCCTCCTTCAGCCCACAGACCCCTTGCTACCCTCTTCCCCCATACATCTGTCACACGCTTGGGTGCTCGGAAACCCATACTTTCTGCACCTCTTCCCATCTTCCCAACACTTTCAGAGAAGCAGCAAATCACCTGATTTATACTCCATCCCTGCTCCTTCCCGTCCACCTTAGAGCTGGAATGCTGTGATTCAGCTGTTTGCAGGGTTCCAACTCTGGAAGGGAGGGGGAGGAGTAGGGATGTAGCAGGAATCAGATGAGCCACATGGTCCAAAAATGCTGGGAAGGAGAGGGAGAAGCAGGTAAGTATGGGGCTTCCATGCCCCAGTGCACAAGAGGCATGTGGGGGTGGGGGAGCAGACATGGGGACCACGGGGCCTCAAGTGGAAACCCAGTTCATGGTTGCTCATCCCTGATCTGCTGCAATACTCATCAGATTAAATCTTATTTTAAAAAGTTATTCAAATTAACTCAGACAGAAATATGGTCATGTTGAATTAGAAAGATTTACCAAGATCCATATTTCTAAATGCAAGTTAATAAGATATCTGGGGGAAAAATACAAAAAGTAAATATTAGTGGGAAGGAAAAAAAGAAAGAGTGGTAATAGTAGACAAAATAAATCAGACACACTTATTGAGACATAGCAGCAAACAAGACTAATGCAAAATTGAGCAAAATATTAACGAGCATCATTATCATGAGGAAATAAGTTTTTATGATTAGAGTTGTTGAATTCTGGGCACAACATTACTAGAAAGATATTAAGAAACTGGAGGCAGTTAAAACAACAACAAAAATTACGGAGGGATGCAGGGATTAATTTATAAGTAAAGATTAAGAGAGTTAAAACTGTATAATTTGGCTGTATGGTCTGAAGAGTACAGGCAGTCCCCGGGTTACGTACAAGATAGGGACTATAGGTTTGTTCTTAAGTTGAATTTGTATGTAAGTCGGAACTGGCTCCAGATTCAGCCGCTGCTGAAACTGATCAGTGGCTGACTACAGGAAGCCCTAGGCAGAGTTGCTCTGCCCCCGGCTTCCTGGAATCAGCCGCTGATCAGTTTCAACAGCGGCTGAATCTGGACTCC